TTTCCCCAGACGGTAGGTTTGTGTTTTTTGGAAGGCTTGACAAATGGTTCTCTGTGGAGAAAAGATGTGTTGGGGAGTTTCTTCCTCAGTTCTTGAAAAATTGTCGTTGCTACAAATGGGGCTTTTTTTCTTCCGACGGTCGCTGTATAGTAGTGCAAGGTAAAGACCCTCTAAAACAAAACCATCGTGTGTCTTGCCTGGTTAATTTATTTTGTAACTGGGCCAGGCGAGAACTTCATTGGATGGGAAGTAGTGAAGTTACTTTTCCGTGTGACCCTGAGCAGGCTGGACTGAAACTGAAATTAACTTCACTCGCTTCGCCTGCCACTTTGGATGCCTTATCGCCTGGCCTAGCAACTCACACAACAACAGCTACTTGCCCTAGAGTTGAATGGTTCAGTGTTTTGGAGAGACTTCTTGTTGCCCTCGAGGTGGATCAATTTGATGACGAGGCACTTTGTCTGGAATGTGATAAATTTAATCTGGATCACCCTAGAACAACCCTGGCTGATGTTCATGAGTACGTCATTAATCTTTACCCAGAAATATTCGAATACCAGGTTTGGGATCTACAGATTGCAAGGCCTGTGCTGGAGGAAGCCTTTTCGTCGGGTGTTGTGTTGAACCCGTTTTTCTATCTGTTTCATATGATGACTAACACGGAGGCTTCAGGTCACAAACTTTTTACCCACATCAATGCCACTTTGTCCCTTCATAATCTTGCTTTTATGAACGTCATCTACTTTCTGAAGATGAATTTTATTCGAGAGTTTCCCTCGCCGGTTTGGAACTCAGGGCTGTTTTGTGACTCAAGGCTGTCACCAGATAGGAACTGGATCGCAGTCAGGGAGTGTTATTTCCCTGAGGATGTCAAATTGCTCGAGAAAGGTGACCGTGAGAACGTTCGTGATGTAGAGCCGGTGCATATCATCCGGGCCGTACGACACTTTGCTTTCACAGATGACAGTACTTTATTTCTGTACGTAACTAAAGACAATTCGCTGCACGCCTTGCCACTTCAGACTGATGCCACTCCTTTAAGTATGTCACGGCTCAGACCATTGTTCCACGTACCCAAGAAGCAACTGGGATATATTTTTTATGTCAAGGACGAAGAGCGAATCCGTTTTGAGGAAAATCTTTCCAGCTGTCTTCCTGGTGTGGTTTTATTTAAACCTCGGCAGCCATCACGTACGTCAGCATTTATCCCTGCTCACACCATTATTTCCGTCTTTGCAGACGCAGGGCTAACGTGTTGGAAAGCAGCAGATGATGTTGCTCCTTCCACCCAAGGGTTTCATGTGAAGAGGTGTGTGTTTTCTCAGGGTGGAAATCTAATTGCCACGCATCAAGGAACTAATATATTGTTGTTTGATTTCAGTAATTTTGTTTGCTCATTGTGTGATGACCGGTATGATGAGAACGATGTATCACGTCTAATATTTTCACCTGACAACGCTTTACTTCTTTATTTCATCCAAAAGAGGTGGGGAGCTAGAACCGATGGTCTGGATTTCTATGTATGGGATGTTGAGAACAGACATATTTGCGCATCATTTGACACGCCATCAGAGCTGCTTTCTATCGATTGCTGTTGCTTTTCATCTGACAACTCCAAATTAATAATCTGTGGCGAGTTTAGTTTGGAGGTCTGGAAATACGCTTCGGGTCCATGTGGCTTATTGACAAGAGTGGAAACTAATGTCCCCAGCCTCTACACTGGAATTGATAAGTTCACTCACTGTACAGTGTCGTCGGAAAATGACTTGCTGGCTTGCTGCATTGGGGACAGAATTCTCCTCTACCCACTCAATACGTTTACAGATTCATCGATTCTGCAGCTACCACGTGCGCATTTAGNAGCCAGTGCACTTTGTCAGTAGACAAGCAGTTTTTGGTATGCTGCATCGCAGACGTAATTCTTGTGTACAGTCTCAATGCTTCCAATATCAATTTCTCACGGGCCCAACAAGTTCTTCGCGGCCATCTTGGTAAAGTTGAGTTTTGTCGGTTTTTAAAAGTAAATCGTTATCTTATCTCATACGGCGTCGACGGCACTATGTTCTTGTGGGACTTAAGCAAATGGAAAGCTGTTGCATATGTAACAGTAGCGCAAGGCTGTGAAAGCATTCTAGGCATGGTTGTCTTACCTGAGGAAGACGAAGTTATTTGTTTCACTTCTTCTGGCCGACAAAGCGTGATAAAGCTTCATGGACTTGTGCATGATATGCACGTAGAACTCCCTACTTCAAAAAGGTTGGACATCATGGCAAATCGACAACAAGTAAGAAAACAAAGATCTTTAATGTTTGAGAGTACTGCCTTTCCTGCCGATTATGATGAGGCTATGGACTTGACTGAACTTGTGGAAGAGATGAATATCATGGCGGACGAGAATCCAGAGAGTGACGTTGACATTTATGAAAGCGAATCAGATGTTGAATGAGAAATGCGGACATCAAGACTGTTCTTGTAAAGCCATCCTCGCGACTCACAGGGTATCTGAAAGATGCTTGTCGGATTTTACAACAATAAATTTGAAAAGTTCTAACCAGTTGTTGTAATTTTTTGTAACACAAAGTCACTTTGGTGCCTTTAAAAGAAATGCGCGGGCTTCATGGTTTAAAAATTATAGCCCTGTCTTCTAACCCGCTATTTCGCCGATTTTGATGTTGGTAACATTGGTCAGAAGAGCAGAAATCATAATTCTAAATACTGAAAACTGCTGATTCGGTTTTAGTATTACTGTATATTTGACCCTCTGCTACAAAAATGCCCGACAATGAAAGCCATTCTATGTAAACCACATTAGGTATCCAAAGAGAATCCGTATTATTGGAAAATGAATGTAAATATGGATTTAAGGTACAAGTAG